TTAGGGTTTAGAGTTTAGGGTCGAAGAGGCTGCGGATAAAATCCTGGCTGAATGAGACCAATAAAATCCTAACTGAATGAGACCGTCTGTGCACGGACCTCTCCCCCAACCCCCGAACCCTAAACCCTAAACGTCAAGCCCTCAAAACTCAAGCCTAACCCTAAACCCTAAATCCTAAACCCTAAACCCTGTAACCCAAGAAGAGCTAGCCGGAAGAGGAAAGCCGACCCGTCCTTGCCTGGAGATTCCCCGGCGGATGCCGGTCGACGCCTCCCAAGATCGGTGGCAGAAAAGTTGGGTTTGGGGTTTAGGGTTTAGGGTTTAGGGTTTAGAGTTTAGGGTTTAGGGTTTCGGGTTTAGGGTTTAGGGTTTAGGGTTTAGGGTTTTAGCCTGCTAGAAATATTAAAGTCTAGCCTGGCCTAGCCCTGGCCTAGTCTAGCCTGGTCTAGCCTGGCCTAGCAGAGGCCAGTTAGAATAGAGTGGAGTATACTATACTACTAAATACGAAAATATGATACTGTATAGTACAGTGTAGAGTATAGTACAGTGTAGCTATGTAGTTAGTATAGTTTAGCTTAGTTTAGCTTAGTTTAGTTTAGTTCTGGGTAGTATAGTGCAGTATAGTCCAGTATCGTCTAGTATAGAATAGTAGGTTGTGACAAGAAAGGGGTATCATCGCCAATTCTCCAAACCTGTATCTCAAACCCTCAACCCCTCGTCGTGTCCTGCTCGCTTTATACTTTATACAAGTCCCCGACATGGCGAGAAGCCCTTTAGCCAGTGTCAACAGCGTAGACCCCCGACCGGCACAGGCAAGCAGGTTGTCACAGAGAAGAAAGGCAAAGCAAGGCACAGCACATACACCCACCCACAAATCACAAAACCCTAAACCCTAAACCCTAAACCCCTAAACCCTAAACCCTAAACCCCTAAACCCCTAAACCCTAAACCCAGCGCCGGGGGGTCTGCGAAGCTGGACCTTCACAGGACGCGAAGCAATCTCAGATCAAAGGTAGCTGCGGACATCTGCTCGGATCCACACAAGTTGACCCAAACTACACGGTTTAGGGTTTAGGGTTGCCTCCGCCGGGACAATCGCGGAAAACTCTCCAAAGCAACGCGGCAGCGCATCACCCACGAGCTGGTGTATCGCTGTCATCTAACGCTGTCATCTACAAACACACACACACACAAACATAATCTGGAAGCGAGCGCCAGCTTTGCCAATCGACGCTGCAAGAAGCCAAAGGGCCGGCACACGACGCTGCACACAGTATGTGAACGCAAGCCCCCCACGTGACACGCCACAAGACAGAGCACGCCTGCTTTTTGCACAGTGGAGAAGCCGAGTGCACCACCAGAGAGAGCTGCGTAGGCATGCCTTAAGCCTTAGGCATGTGGGACCTTGTTCAAACAGCCAATCGAGCACAATGAAGGGGGCCTTCATAATTGGAATAGGGTTGTAGCTCCCTTATAGTATGATTATCATAAGGAGCCCTAACAGTAATCTTGGTGTCATCATTTCGGCTTGTATGTTTCCCTTGGCCTCCGATTTCGGTGGGGTTTTGGATGCCCCGATTGGCTGCAGCGCGAAAGCTCCTGAAAGGAAACCTTCTATAGAACCCTTGTAGAACCCTCAGAGGAACCTTTAAAAGAACCCTAACCCCTAAACCCTACAACCCTAAACCCTACAACCTTAAACCCAACAACCCTAAACCCTTAACCCTATAACCCTAAACCCTGCAACCTTAAACCCTGCAACCCTAAACCCTACAACCCTGCAACCCCAAACCCAAAGCCCTTCTAGGGAAATATCAAGGAACCCATTCGAAGGCGCAGCGCTGGCCTGGCGACCGGCCCGGTCTTTGTGGCCTCTGGAAGATCTGGGTCTGCAACTTTGGGTTTAAGGTTTAGGGCTTAGGGTCTAGGGTTTTAAGGTTTAGGGCTTAAGGTTCAGGGTTTCGGGTTTAGGGCTTAGGGTCTAGGGTTTAAGATTTAGGGCTTAAGGTTCAGGGTTTAGGGTTTAGGGTCTAGGGTTTAAGGTTTAGGGCTTAAGGTTCAGGGTTTCGGGTTTAGGGCTTCGGGTCTAGGGTTTAAGGTTTAGGGCTTAAGGTTCAGGGTTTCGGGTTTAGGGTTTAGGGTCTACGGTTTAAGGTTTCGGGCTTAAGGTTCCGGGTTTCGGGTTTTGGGTTCAGGGTCTAGGGTATAAGGTTTAGGGCTTACCGGGGTTTGGGGTTTGGGGTCTATGAAAATTTAGGGTTTAGGGTCTAGGGAATTCAAGGTCTAGGGCTAAACCCTAAACCCTAAACCCTAAACCTGGGGTTTAGGGAATTTAGGAGCCTGAAGACTGCGGTTCCTAGAAGACTGTTTGGGGTCATAGTTTTATAGGGGCCTTTAAGACTTTAGACTTCAATATATATATATATATATATTCATGTGTTTATTCATTTCTATAGGGTTCCTGGTACCTAAGAAGTTAGGGTTTCTAGGAATGGGTTCTGGAAAAGGATTCTATAAGGGTTCTACACGGGTTACTACGAAGGTTCTAGGAATAGGAGGCTCGAGAATGCTACAGGGAAGTGTAAGTTTCCGACCCTCTATTTGACTCCCACGGGCGTCTAAGGATGTTGCTCGGTCTGCGTCGTCATGTGCTTCATCGGGCAAAATGGGGTGTTCGTTTGTTAATAGGACGTGCTGAAGCGACATGTTTGTTGAGTGCTCCCAAAGCTTGATCGATAGCATTGGAAGATGTCTAAACACTGAATTGAAAGACGGGCACTGCTCTCCACAAGGCAGTCGCAAGAAGATCAAACTAACATGCCGGTACTGCCGTTCTGGTGATGTCCTGTACTCGCAGCACATCTACCAAAACCAGCACAAAAGGTAGAACACCATAACGAAAATCGGAACCCCTAAACCCTAAACCCTAAACCCTAATCCCCTATGTATTTTAATACTATCGGTGTTATTTGTTCGGTCTCTGTTCTTCTGCGCTTCGGCTTTTCGGCGCTTTCGGATGTACTAGAGTCAAGGGGTGTCGGCGTTTTGGCCTCAAGACCTGGAGGTTGAGAGTTTGAAGGGCTGAGCACTGCAGCTTTCAGCTGAAGAGTCCTAAACTTTAAGGTTAAGGTGTAGGGTTAGGGTTTAGGGTTTAGGCTTTAAACCGCTACCTTAGACCCCACTTGGAGGATCAGGAGACTTAGTAAGTATGGGAAATGGTCATGTAAGCATAGCTATACCGCTACACATACTTGGAACCCTAGTTAAGGTATTTAGAACCCTATACTTACTAAGTCCCTCTGCGGAGTTCCTATACATCTGATTATACAGTAAGCCCCTCTACAAGGTCCGCAACCGGATTCGGATGTCACTCTGACTCTATAACCATTAAGAAAGTTCTGAATGAGTTGTGTGCAATACTTGGTAAAGGCTACCCTTCTGTAGTAGCTCAAACAGACTAATTAGGGTTGTGCCTTTGGATTTGGGTTGAGGCGGTCCAAGGCGTAAACGCCCAACCCTGACCCCAAGCGCAAAATAGTGCTGCCACAGCGACCACCCCACGATTTGCGGTCCGCAAACAAACAACTGAGCGAGTCGGAGCTTTAGCGCCCGTAAGCCCTACGGTTTATTCCATGGAGGCATCCTAGGGTTTAGGGTTTATGGTTTACAGTCGGGTCTAGGGTTTAGGGTCTTTAGCGTGTCGGAGTTAGGAATAATCCCAGACCCTAAACTCACAACCGAAACTCGCTGAGCGGTAGCTTGGTTTCGGTTCAGCTGACCTAGGGTTTAGGGTTTAGGGTTTAGGGTTTTAGGGTTTAGGGTTTAGGGTTTAGGGTTTAGGGTTTAGGGTTCTAGCTGCAGGCCCAAAGAATGCCGATCTTGGGGTGCTGGCAACCGAACCGTTCAGGGCTTTGGGCATAGGGGCCAAGGGTCTCTATGACGAGAATACTTACTGGGGTTTGGAGTAAGGTGCTTTGCGATTTGGGTTTAGGTTCTTCAGAGCGTCGGGGTGTAAAAATGTAACTTCATGGCCGGACGTTGCCTGAAACATCCTGAGCTTTCCGCTGTAACAGACAGAAATGCTGGATGTAAATGCACTGAGTTCTTTGAAAAAGTCATCACAGGTTGGGATACTGGGCCGAAGCACCGGGAGCTGGGTCAGGGAAGCAATAAATGGTCAATGTAGGCGGGACGTAATTGTGAGAATAGTGTTCGTTTAAGTATTGTTAATGGGTTACTACATGGGTTTCTATAAGGGTCACCAAACGGGCTTACTGAATGGATGAATAGTTACAATAGGGTTACGGGGTATATTGCAGCATAATTCGAGGTAAGGGTTTTGACGAGATAAATTACCAATTATCCAGACCACTCTATGAACTTCACGCCTCTTCACCACCAGCTGGATTTCCTATTATCCCAACGGAACTACCCAAAGCCTAAACCCTAAACCCTACACCCTATACTCTACGCCCTATATAAACCCAAAGTCTCTAACCCCTAAAGCCTGTCAACCCTCAACCCCCTACAGCTGCGCCTCCGGAGATGTAGTCGGACACAGGAACCGCTTCTCCGGATCGTTCTGCCCGAAGAGGTCCGCAGCACTCAACCTGAATCGAATCATCCACAGACGCTTTCAAACCTTACCTTAACATTTAAACTACCAAAACCCGATTCGAAGAAGGGCTTATAAGAAGAGCCTGCCAAAGGTAGGTGATGATAGTCCCTACCTAAACCCTAAACCCTAAGCCTAAGGCTCAGGTCTAGGGTCACGCATTCAAGCTTGGGGTCCTCAGCCCACCCTAAACCCCAAACTCGAAGTGCTAGGCTTTCGGGGGTATGGGGTTTTTCGGGTCTTAGCGTTTAGGGTCAGAGGGTCACTTCAACGAATCATCCCCCGACCACTTACTTGAGGAGACTGAGGCTATCCACGTGGGCCGTGCATAAAGCGCATCGCAGGGTACTTTATATGTGGTGCGAGGATGCTTATTGTTGAGGGTTTGGTAGGCAGCCCGGTGGTAAATGCACCTAGCTTGGAGATAAACCCTACACCCTAAACCCTAAACCCTAAACCCTAAGCCCCAAACCCTAAACCCTAAACCCTAGCGGTCTCCTATGCGTAGTTGCGGCTGTTGTGGCTTACAGGGCTTGGGCGTTCTCTGGCTTAGGCTCGGCCTGAAACTCCAGTGACCAAGGGTTACAGGTGCATGTTAGGGCTTAGGGTTTAGGGTTCACACATGTGGGTAGTTGTCGAAATTGTGGTTCCTTTCGGGGTACCCTAAATAATAGGTGCCGTATTATAATGAGGACCCAAAAAGGGACCCGAATTTTGACAACCACCCATGTCGGTATGTCTGGCTGCTGGTGGACCAGTAGCGGGGAGGCCAGAGGGGGGGAACAGTGAGCACAGGGCTGCAAAAGATTAGCCTGAGCCCGAAACTCGAAAGCACACATCCTAATCCCTTGATCTTCGAGGAGTCATTCCTTCCACGCATGACAAAGTCGCTGAAAGTCCACGACCCTCTACAAAACGTTAAGCTCCAATGGTGGCAAGACTAGAAATTGAACCCGCTATAGAGTATAGCCTTGACTCAAACACCTGATTCCGATGCATAGAAGCCTATACCTTATAATGGAGTATGGGAGTCCATGTTTCCTGTCTGTGTAGGCCTGTAAATTCTATGCAACTGAGAAATCTTTTGCCAAGACCATATCACCACAAATACACGCTACCAGGGCATGATTTCTGAAACTACTATGATGCGGCAAGATACGAATGCTTTGCTGCTAAAAAACGCAGGCCCCCTTCATACTGCTTTGTGTTTTCTGTTTCATGAACCAAACCCCAAAAGTCTTCCGCATCTAGGGTGCTCCAAAAAACGATCACCGAAACCCTGCCAGAGCCATGAGTACCTACTATGGAAGTGTTTGGACGGTTCCGCTTCTACGTGGCCGTAGAGGTGGAGCAAATGAAGTGAAGGTGTTGTCCTTTAGTTTAGAGCCCAACAGCCACGACTTGCTTTGTCGTTAACTTATGCCCGCCCCACTGTGGAGTCAAAAGTCTATAGATGGCACCCTGTCGTGGTAGGTAGGGCCAGGCAAGTTGCGGGAGCGTAATTAAACTTCGCAGAGGATTGGAAAGGCTTCCAGTCTCCACCTGGCTCCACAAAGCGGCTTCTTGTGAAGGCACTGAAATTGAGTTACCCTACTACCCCGGCAAATTTGGCTTACGGTATTACTACATTACTCCAATCAGCTGTAAACCGAAGTTCCCTCAAAAGAGCCCGGGACAAAATGATGAATAACAATGCTCAAACCGAGTCGTATAGGATCAAGGTTCAGGGTTTAGGGTTGCCCTCATGCACTTTTGTCCCTTTATAAACCCTAGTAAAGCCTCAACCCTAAACCCGGGGCTCCTGTGATCATAACTGCATAGTAGGATACGAGTAGAGATTATGGGGTTAGGCTCCGGAGCTCCAGGCCCTGCGCTTAGGATGGATGTTGAGCAGGGGATCCTGTGACTCAGTAAGTTTAGGGTTTAGGGCTTAGGGCTTAGAGGGTTTAGGGTTTAGGGTTTAGGGTTTAGGTTTTAGGGTTTGAGTAGAAAAGAAGACCTATCGGGTTTAGGGCTTTCGGGGTTTAGGGGTGTATACCGGTTAGGAACCTGTAGGTTTCATGTGCCTGGTAACTCGTGCATTCTCCCTGAATCCACTAAAAACCGACCCCTCCCCCTTTCAACCCCTGAAGCCCTAAGAAACTGAAATTAAAGTTCTAAACCCCAGACCAACAAACATGAACAAACCCTGGCGCAGGCACGCCCGCGTACCTGGGTCTCAGCTTTGATGTTAGATGTCCAAGGAATCGGCTCTATGAACCCTTTTTCGGTGATTCATGGAAAGCTTTGTAAGTGCTCGGCGTTTACAGGTTCAAGCACGGCTTGATTGGTAGGCGGTCAGGCACTGGTGGTGCTTGAGGTTTACTAGAGGCACCGCGCTGCCGACACATGTTGGAAAGTCCTTTTCTTCTGTGGAAATCTGAAAACATCCCCCTAAATCCTAAACCCTCGCCGGCAGAGGGCCGAAATCAAAAACCGCAGCGCTGCACCTAATGTAGAGGCCTTAATAATGGGAATAGCGTTTTGCGCTCCTTTATAGTATTATATAGCATAATTATGAAGGAAGTTGGTAATTAATATAGGGGCCGTAACAATTATCTGTATTGTTTTGGGGTTCAATATTATAGTCAATCATGGTATAATATACCCCAAAACCCTATTCCAATAATTAAGGCGCCTACATTCCGTAGAATACAACACAATAAGCTCCGTCGCCAACCCTCGAGGCTCACAAATCCCTGACTCTAGCGGCCCTAGTAGCCCTAGTAAGTGGTGTCACAATTAGAAGAGAGCTTTGGGTCCTTCGAGGTGATGCATTTGCGCCTCACCCGCATCCTTCAGCACGGCTCTAGTAGGAGCATCATCCTGAATTGCATCTGAAGCTGCCGGGTGTAGCCGGGGTTTAACACCCAGTTTCGTCAATGAGAACACAGCATGCGAACACTGATTCTTGGCGTGGTATGAGGAGTTGAGAAACGAAGAAGATTGTAGTATAGCTTCAGCAGAAACTTACGTAACTAGGAAATGGCACGTGGGCAACATAGCCGCAGAAGTCAGTAGTAGCAGTAGTAGTAGGAGGAGTAGTACTAGTACTAGTACTAGTAGTAGCAGTAGCAGCAGCAGCAGCAGCAGCAGCAGCAGGAGCAGGAGCAGTGGCAG